CTGTATCATATTCTTTGTTCATATTTCACCCGCATTAAGTTTTTATTTACACTTATTATTTTTTTGACTTTTCACATTTAAATAATGTCTTTGAATTATTTGATACTCATTTCAGTTTAAGATTATTCTTTTAAATTTTGAATCTAAATCTTCCCCAATGTCAAGTCTGAAATTGATATGGCATTATCGGTTTGCTAGTACAATATTAATCTAGACATTCATTTAGAGACTCTAAATCTATCTTAAACCATGGTTTGTGTATCATGACTTACACAAATTAACAATAAATTCAAATATCATAATTCTTTATTGAAATGGTCGATTTCATGAAGCGGTGAAATGAANTGTTGACACTTGACCTGTATGACAGTTATTAATTACTACTTTTAAATCACCTTACTAATTATGGTATAGTTGTACAAGGCATGATTTCTCATAAAAGACGGTTGGTTTTTTCGCGTTGCTACGGCCGTTGTCATAGACGCGTGTGTGTTGATACAGACGGGTTCCGTCACCTTAGTTACATTACTGTTAATCTTTCTAAGTGCTACTCTGTAACGGCGGTGGAAATAAACTTTAATCAACTGCAAGGAATTACTTTAAAAACATTAATGTCTGAGTATTTATTATTAATTTTATCATTCAAAAAATAATCTATTTACATGGAATTATTGTCGTTATCTGGCTTGGTCATTTTCCTTTCATCTGTCTCCTTAAAGTAAAGCGTAAATTGCTTCAAATAAATGGCTTGTTTTTTATGAATGTAACAAATCTATATTCAGTAATACAAGATTCGCTTTAAAATAATGTTATTCGTGCCAGTAGCGATGATTTTCGACTACGTGACTGAATATTATACTGGTTTCATATAAGAAAGGGGAAATATAGACATTATAGAACTTTTAAAATATTTAAAAATGCTTAAAATTTTGATTTGTAGTATAAAATTGTATATTAAACTATCTATATTTGATCAATTTCAATTTGAACAGATTTAAAAGATGTGGGCTTTTTTCTAAAACAATAACATTTAAACAAAATAAAAATCAGTATAGCATAATTAATTCTGTTGTATTGACATCACAGTTATGAATATTGAATAAAGAGTCCCAATGCGACCTCACCGCTCACCTGATATTAATATCATACTTGTAACCTCAAAAGTGGCCAAATGTCAAATATTTAGGAGGCACGGAGGCTAGTGGTAGGACGCCGGGCTCGTGACCAAACGGCACGGCACTGCGTTGTACCTTTGAGCAAGATACTTTACTCCGCTTGCTCCAATCTACTCAGCTGTATATGAGTCCGTTGTTGGGCAGCGCTAGAATTGTTGAATGCTAGCTGTTAGCGCCGAAATGGCAGCTCCGGCGGTATGCATCCCAGGGAGTTGAGAAAGATATTGTCTTGTTGCAAAAGCCCTATAACCACGGATCATAATTTGTGAACCGCTTTGAGACAACCTACGAACTAGGTTGTGATAAAGCAATATATAAGAACCTCGAAGTATTATTATTATTATTCTTAAACGGGCTTACTTAAGCTACGTACGAATAGTATTACCTGTAAGTGGCTTTAGTTATTGGTTGCTCAAAATTACTGGTTTAATTATTTCAACACAACAAGATCATTCAATATAGCTACCGTTGTAGTTCTTCATCCAACGATGACTACTGGCCAAATGTAATAATCCGAGGCTAGTTGGTCATTCTGGGTCGAAGTCATTTTTTCACAAACCTCGCTTATCCAGGGGAGCTACCAGTGACATATGCTGACCCTATGCCTTTTCGGAAAAGAAAAAAGGTTGTTTAAATGAAACGTCAACGAACGACATACTCTGATCCACGGTTCAATTGCCTTTCGAGTATATGAGATATAAAACAATATTGATAACATGTTTTGAATAATTCTTAGTAACAGTTCGAATTCGAAGAAAATAAAGTTGGACTTAATTGATACCAAGTGATTATAATTGATTTATCCGATAGATTGATATTTCCTTAGATAGAATATATACGCAAGTTTGGATATATATAGCATTGTGGATATTAAGGAGTTAAATAATTGGTATTATTATTACGAATATATGTATATACTTATATATCTCAATACTGAAAAGGTAAGGTCATAGATTGTTGTTATTTTTCTTTTCATAAATATATTTACAAAACCATTTTTGATTGACGTCGTTGGGTAATTATTATGTTAATCATCCCATCATTAAAGACAGTATTTGCTGGAAACGTTTACTCATTCTTACCAATATATAGAAACTTATTGTTTGATGCGACATTTGTTGTATGTGTCACATGACTTGGTAAAGTTTAACCTATGTACTACACGTAAACGCAAATATGGTCTTATTTAAACACTTGTGTACTGTAGACGTTTAACCTTTTGATCAATGTTGGATAAACCAAACACCGCCCACAGAACTCCCTCCGTGTCAACACATACAACAAAGGGTAGGTCTATATCAGTATATAACTGTCGCGTGACCTGTGCCTGTGCCTGTGCCTGTGCCCCCTTTAATTGATTGTTGATGTCCGGAAGGTAGCGGGTTATCATCAACTGATGTTTCATCTGACTGGTCAGGGCCGGTAGAGGACTGAGACTGTTCGATGGTCTCAAGGAAACTTTTCCAAATGCCTCCTTCAGGATTGTATTCCTTCTGTTGTTTGGGATGCAGCCGCAGAACCAACTTTGGTTTTTCAGGTAAGTTGATGTTTGTTTGAAGTCCTTTTGAAAGGTCAAACACCTGGATATCTGTGCCTGTCTGAAGAGTTTCCTTACAGTGTCTCAGTTGTTCCTTTAGGTCTGATTGTTTTTTTTATCGAGTTCAGACTTGAAACTGGTGAGAAGTTTAGTATTTTCTTCTTCTAAATGTTTCACCTGAGAAAGTGTTTCCGCTATCAAAACATCAATATCCTCCTTAAGTTTCTCCCCTTGCTTTTTTACTTCCTCTGCTATACTCTTGAAATTGTTTAAGTCATCATCCAGACTCTGCTGCGATGAACTGATTCCCAGTTGAATTTCAATTAAATCTGTATTCTCGATTTTATTTATAAATGATTTTATCTTACGTTTGTTGTCGGGAGTAATTTCGCTTAGTAGGATATTGTCATTACCTTTGTGTGAATTGGACGCACATTTGGCACATATGACCTCATAACATGTCTCACAAAACCAATCCAAAGTCTCGCCTTTGTGGTGCATGCATGTAGTTTGATCCGTGCCGCGAACCACTATCTGGCCTTTATAGAAAGAAATCGCCTTTTCTGCCATTTCACTACACTATTACTGAGGTATTGCATTACATTACTATCATTATGCTATATATATGTCAAGACAAAAGAAACGGAACGTTATGAAACTTATGTGATAAAATGACTATCTTTAGGCTTTACTCCCAACTGTGATTATAAGCTTTCTGTGAATTTTCTGTAACAAAAATAGAAACGATGTCATTAAATTATCCCAAATATCCCAAATGTGTATGCACTGAACATTTAATCTTCAGAAGATTGTGATTAGTTTTATAGACCTTGACACTGGACATGTAAAGTTCTCTAGTAATCGCTGGTGAAAAGTTGACGCCCGTAGCTACATTTACTTGCAATCAAGATGGCGCAATTCATAAACGGCAACTTTTATTTCATGTAAATCATCATATTTGACGGACCATTTTCAGACACACAGAAACTGAAATTGCACGAAAGATATCAAATGCAACTTTTGAAGCGTTGATAACTGCATTTGTCAACATTAAAATTACACAAATCACAATACGGTAGTCGATTTAAGATATGTTCATATCTAAATAAGCTGTCATTTGTCAACACGGAAATATTGTTTTTTTTGAGTCATGAAACTCCACATCTGTTTTTCCGCCATCTTGGAGGTTAGTAAGTGTAGTTATCCACATCAACTTATCTCAAGTGCTGTAATACTAAAACTACGTATTTTCGTTTAATGATTTACTGCTGTTGACAAGATACATAATTCACCGAACATGAATAAACTAACATGGTTTTATTGAAGATTGTTGAATGATTTATTAGCATTAAGGGATTTTATATTACATGTATCACTTGGTTACGAAAAAAAAACATGCAGGATAATCTAACCAGGCTTGTAACAGAAATAAAAACCGGAGTGTACATTGAGTTACGGCAATGACTCATGTATATTTATTTAAATTTACTCGGCGTGTGCAGTCGTCAAAATATTTCCTTCATAGTTTGATATGTGTGCCTTTTATTTTGGGAAACAAAAGCGACAAACCTTTTGTTTCTATCCATTGTAACATTACCGATCTATATATTCCCCTCTTTCTAACTACTTCTCATTTTCTAATACGTCTCCTGGCAATACCTCGTATTTTGGCCTTGGTGTTGTGTGTTTAACCAAGCGAAGAAGGTTATTAGCGTGTGATCACATGAAGGCAATACACATACATGCCGTAAAGAACAACAATGTAGAGGAAGATTGTGGCAATATATGTGTATGTGTTGTCTTTTATATTGGGAAACAAAGCGAACAACATTTTTCTTCTATCCATTGAAACTTTTCGTATCTACATCTATATTTGATCCTCTTTCTTGCAAAATATTTCATTTCCTCACATTTCTCTTGGCAATGCCTCAATTTGGCCTTGGTGAAGTGTATTTATCCAAGCGAAAAAGGTCATAGGGAAGGAAATACCCAAACATAATGCTTCCCAACACACACACACACATTATACACATCAGATGGAGGCATGTCCTTAAATGGCCTCAGTTGTTTATAGAATAGCTAAAATTAAACGCGTTTGACCAAGCCTACCTAGATTTATTATACACTTTCTTTCTACCCAGATGTCCCTTGTACTTGAATACTTTACCGTCAAACACATAAAGTGTCATTAGATGAAGTTTAAAACATTGTTTGAAGTGAGATAAGAATTCATTCCACACATAAAGTATTACAGCACAACCAACAACATTAACAAATTGTAAACATACCTGTAATACTGTTGGTTTGTCTGCTCTTCCAGTCGAAGCTTCCATGTGTTTACAGGTAGAGAGTCCTAGTTACCGGTGTATTTACCTGGCCAACGCTAAGACGTATGAAGCGATCACAGTGCTTTGTGTGTGAAGTAATATGATATAAGAGGTGCTTATACAGTTGACATTAATTCTACTTCCTTGTTCATAGTGCTCGCCATATATAATTACAAACAGCAATGTAAAGGTAGATCGTGACAGCAAACCACTTATATATGTGTGTATGTGTGTGTGTGTTGCTCCACATACATGTAAAGACACCTTGTCCTATTGATTAGCCCTCCTGTTTTACAGGACTATTATCAGTTGTTCAGGACATGACTCACCGCACACACCAAAACAGTGTTGTTTCTCTGAAACCTCTTCATAGTGTTTGTGTTTAAGACGTATGATCGATATATTATACTTGTTTGATATTTATATCTTGAGATTAAAAAAGAGTTTTTTGTTTGTATCTCTTACACATAAAAATATATCTGCTCTGTGCCTTGCAAAGAGAGTTGATACGTGATACCGTGTGACCGTTATAAAAACACAGCTGGACGTTAAGTATTTGTTATACATGTATGCTTTCGTGTTGGTCTATAGCTCCCCTTCACCTGGATTTTCACACCTTGACGAGTTACGTAAGTGCCCTGGGTGGGGAAAACTACAGTCCAGGTACAGATACAAAGTGGCTATGTTTACCTGGATACGTGACCTTGTCTATATGCGTTATTTTACATGTGTCTATTTAGGTCGTTTAGAAAACACCGAAAACACGATTTTTAATAAAATAAAGATAGAAAGATCAGCTTGTACAAGTAGTTAGAATATTGAAATATGTTTAACAAAAGCCCAATGGCCACGTGGACTCGCGACCTTTTTCACATGCATTGTACGATTTTAATATTGTGCAGAGTCCTCGCACATATCATTTGATGATAACATCAACACCTACATGATCACAATATTCGCCAGTCAGAGATCCGGAGATATCCTCCCAATGGCCTCTAACAGCAAGTCACAATAGCAAGCACCTGGGTGTTATTGTTCATAAGGATCGATTTCAAAATAAATCAATTAATCAAAGTACTGAAAAAACAAACGATAATAGGACTTAGGTACGTTATACTTTGATGTGATTGCACAAATGCTGAGAGAAGATTAGTAAAAAGTGGATATTAATGTTATGATAGAAATATGTTTAAGTATACATGTATACGCATATTATTGTATTTTTGTTTTCTCGGTCGCGATATGTACCTTCTGATAACATATGTGATATCAACGTTCCTGATAACATATGAGATTTCAACGTTCCTGATAACATATGTGATATCAACGTTCCTGATAACATATGTGATATCAACGTTCCTGATAACATATGTGATATCAAAGGGTTTTTGAAATGGGGTTTATCGTATGTTGTAAAGCGCTTTAGAGTAATTTTACAAATTATATAGGGCGCTATATAAATGTTGTGTATTATTATATTATTAGGATTAGGAAGAGGGCAGTCGGCGAGATGGAAATATACTAATGCAGCAGAAAGGAGAAAGCAAGTGCAGGGAGAGATCAGGCAACAGGAAGAGGATACAAGGAAGGTGAAAGCAGTGAAGATTGGAAGTCAAGGGCATGGACCCAATGGGAGACGGAAGAGAAGAAGATGACATGGGCAGAGATCTGGAGATACACACCATGGCAGCTACAGTTAATTCCCAGGGCTGTTTATGATGTGCTTCCAACACCGACAAATCTTCACAGATAGGGATTGGTGGAAGATCCCACCAATGTGGAAGACCCGAATCTGGAACACATTCTCTCTTCCTGCTAGGTAGCGCTAACACAGGGCCGATACACTTGGAGACATGACCAGGTGTTAAGGCAACTTACTCACACACTTGAGAGGGAAAGGAAGAAAAAAACACATGAAATACAAAGGGGACCAACGTTAATTCGGTTACACAGAGAAGGACATACACCATCGGGAACAGCAAGGACTGACAACCTGGGTATTCTTGGAGGTGCAGGAGACTGGGTGATACGTGTGGATCTTGGAGGGAGGAAATTGTTTTTTCCGGAGATCCTGGAGACAACACTACGACCAGACATCGTGTTGTTATCACCGAGCAAGAAGAACCTGGTGATAGTGGAACTGACTGTGCCGTGGGAGACAAGGTGTGACTCAGCGCACGAACGGAAGAAGAGCAAGTATGCGGAACTGACAGAGGAGTGTGGCAGAAAAGGCTGGCAGGCAGGGAACTATCCTGTGGAAGTAGGCTGCAGAGGATTCCCGGCCCACTCGTGCTGGAGGATACTCGGAGCCATCGGTATTACGGGAGGAGTAAGGAAGACGGCAATGAGAGAGATGTGGAACGAAGCAGAACGGGCATCACGATGGCTGTGGATGCAGAGAGGAGACAGTAGCTGGAAGCCAACTGTCGGAGAGTAGGGAATGATCACCCCAGCTGACCCACCATCCGGAGAGAGTTCCAGGTTAGGGGTTGAAACCCTCGACGATGGATGGACCTGGCTGATGACGACGACGGTTGAGCAACAACAACAACAGCTGTATTCAGGCACTTCTTATCTTCTACGTGCACGTTATTTTAAAAACTAAGCTGAAAGTACTTTAAACTGAATTGGTAATCGTAAAGGAAATCTGGCAAAGCTAATAATATGTAGAGGTCCTTTAAATTCCATTCAGCGCGCCGTGTAAAACACTGCACATCGTGTAACGTTGTACGTTGTTCGATTCCACAACTGAACCTGACCCCTCTGACCTGTAAAGTGCATGTAGGTCGATGTCATTTTAATTCTAAAACTTAACTTATCCAAGGAAGCTACCAGTGACATGTCCTGACGGACGACAGATACGCACCACAGCATAGCATAAGACCACTTGAGAAAAGGTGAGTTTAAAAAACGTTTATACTTTGTAACATATGCAATTCATTGAAGACAGAGAATTAATTCAATCAATACCAAATGATTAAGATAGATTTATCAAATCGATTGAAATTTCCTCAAATATGATATATGCTAACCTTGTGAGTTTGAATAAATAGCATTGTACATCTTTATGAGTTAGATAACTGGTATCTCCTATTACCAAACTAAATTAGTAAGGTCAAAGCATGATATTATTTTTCATATCTTTAAATATATTAGCAAATATTTATTATTTAACTTTGATTGGGTAATTATAATTTGAATTATTACATCATTAATAGCAGGAAAATCTAGGATGATACTTATAGATTATCAAAAATACTGTTTTTCATCCATATTCTTCAACCTTATATATTTCCCCATATGTTAAAACAAAACTAAATACCATACTTAACATAAATACAGGTTTAATGATCATTGAGATCCTCGATCTGAGACTAACGTAAGCAAGCAGAAGATATCCGCAGAGGAATACCATGAATCTTAAAACTATGTAAAAAGATATTTCTTAACAATATTATCGCCATTGGCTTTTCCATATGCACGTTTACTCTGGTGTTGCTACAATCACAATATTTTTTTATAACTTTATAACAATTTTCTATATGACGGATTATTTTCTGACGCGAATCATCTTTGTGGGGATACTATTTCCAGTTCAGGACGTCACCTGGCGCAAGCAGACGTTCTGAGAAAATCCATTCTTATGTTGTGGGATCGTTTCTCTAAGTCGTTCTTAACTTCTTCAGTATTCGTGTACTAACAACTCACGATAATGAACTTCTCATGCTAACAGTTTGTGCTATAAAGCATTTATTAGTTATGGACTACCTGTGTAATGAATCACATCTATTGGTAGTGTTTCACTTATATACTACACATAATTGTGACAACATGTAGGGTATGATTTAAACACTTGTGTACTGGAGACGTTACACATTTTTTGCAGTGCCATATGTACCAAACACCGCCCACAGGACTTCCTACGTGTCCACACATAAAGCCCAAGGTCTGCCTATGTCAGTATGTAGCAGTCGCAGATACTGTCCATCACCACTCAGCAGTAGGAAGCATTTGTTGGCATAGTCAGCCATCACCAGGTGCCCTAAACTATTGTTCGTTAGAGCCACATAGCCTCCTGGCTAGGGCCAAGGCAAAACTAGAAGGATATGTAAGGTATTGGGGATGGGGAGAAGAGAAAGGGGACAATGCACTATTATCATGATTACTTTTACTATTATTTGTCCTTACCAGGTACATGTAAGACCTATCTCTGTTAAGGTTTCCTAAAGGCAGACAACTTTGGATTAACAATCTCACATAATTAACACATACTTCAGTATAAAACTGCTTTCGTTTGAAATTAAACAAATGACTATTAGTGTTTTACAATCACCTATAATAGAATACAATTTATCCTGTTTAAACATATCAAAATGAAATTTTGAAAAATCAGAAAAATTATGCGATAGTCAATTGATATTTTATCTCTGCTCATTCAATTATCATATAATACATTTTGCCTTTATTTCCCAAACAATGACCTAAATTTGTACTTCAGTCTATTAAACTAGCGTAAACACCGTAGTACACTTGAGTTATCACAGTTGTGCACTGGAGTTAACACCATAGATTGAGTTATCACAGTAGTGCACTGGATTTAACACCGTAGCACACTTGAGTTAACACCTTTGTGCGATGGAGTTAACACCATAGTGCACTTGAGTTAACACCGTAGTACACTTGAGTTAACACCGTAGTGCGATGGAGTTAACACCGTAGTGCGCTGGAGTTAACACCGTAGTTCACTTGAGTTAACACTGTTGTGCGCTGGAGTTTACACCGTAGTGCACTAGAGTTAACACTGTAGCGCACGGGAGCGCATTACAATGTCTTGTCTAGTACACTACCTTGTTCACCACGTGTGCACTACATAATGCACTATATAACAAGTCAAGTTTGCTCCCAACTGTTTACACTGATTTTTTTACTTTCAAAGGAACTTTGGTAGTTTAATACGACATTGACACTGGACATGCATAGTTCTCGACTTACCGTCTAGAAATAACTGGTAAAAAGTAGATGCGCGTTAGTAGAATTACTTCCATTTAAGACAGTGCAGCTACCCGCATCAACTTTCCCACAGTTAAGTAATGATAAAACTACGTATTATCATTGAAAAATATCAAGCTGTTTACAAGCTACAAAATACAAAAAAAACATAAATGGTTAAACAATTCATGATCATTTATGTTTATAATATCCTTTGGCCACCTTCAAATACAAAATTATACAAGAAATATCACGAGGATATCATCATAGGGAAAAACGGAGCATGCTAATAATGGAAACATAACAATTGTTTAATAGATGAATTACGGCAAAAACGTGTTCCTATCCATGTGTATTTATTCAAATGTACCTTGCGTCTGTAATTATTTTGTCTGCCACCTTCTAATACATCACATGACTTCTGTGCCTCCTGCATAATTGGATGTTTGAGCCCTTAATCTTGGGAATGAAATCCGACAAATATGAAATATATTTTCTATTGCAACATTCCGGATTTGTTATTTCTTTTGTAATTATTTGTTTTTCATTTTCTAATGTTTCTTTTTGTTATACCTTGCTTTTGGCCTTGGTGTAGTTTGTTTACCCAAGCGAAGAAGGTTATAAGCGTAATTACAGCGAGACAAATATTAAACACGCACCCACCAACACGCACATATAAATTACACACAAGACGGTACGTCCTTAAATGACTCAAGTTGTTTATAGGACTCAAAACTCATTCTACAACAAGAGGCCCATGGGCCTTAACGGTCACCTGATTCCTACAGTATTTATTTTTGTTGTTAAAATATGTACCAATTTGAGTAAAAAATGTTAAGTATAACGTTAACTTAAGTTTGTCAGGACCATGAGCTGATCATTCCTAGACCGATTTTCAGTTAGATCGGCCTATAAGAACTTTGAAATAGGTATTTTCAAAATAGCGGCCATGGCAGCCAAATTCTGTTTCTGATCGACCTGAAAAATAACAAAACTTTGTCAGGACCATGAGTCGATCATTCCTACCAAGTGTCAGTTCAATCGGCCTAGCAGAACTTGACTTTAAGTTTGAAATAGTTTTTCAAAATGGCGGCTGGGGCAGCAATATTGGATTTCTGATAGACCCGAAAAACAACAACGCTTTGTCAGGATCATGAGTCGATCATTCCAACCAAGTGTCAGTTCAATCGTCCTAGCAGAACTTGACTTTAATTTTGAAATAGTTTTTCAAAATGGCGGCCGTGGCGCCCATATTGGATTTCTGATAGACCCGAAAAATAACAACGCTTTGTCAGGATCATGAGTCGATCATTCCAACCAAGTGTCAGTTCAATCGGCCTAGCAGAACTTGACTTTAATTTTGAAATAGTTTTTCAAAATGGCGGCTGTGGCAGCAATATTGGATTTTTGATAGACCCGAAAAATAACAACGCTTTGTCAGGATCATGAGTCGATCATTCCAACCAATTGTCAGTTCAATCGGCCTAGCAGAACTTGACTTTAAGTTTGAAATAGTTTTCAAAATGGCGGCCGTGGCGGCCATATTTGATTTCTGATCGACCCAAAAATAACAACACTTTGTCAGGACCTTGAGTCGATTATTCCTACAAAGTTTCAGTTCATATTGGATTTCTGATCGACCCGAAAAATAACAACACTTGTTCAGGGAGTGGTCAGTAACCTTCCCATGAAATATTAATGAAATCCCTTTGCCAGTATTTCAGCCTAAGTTGAAAATGTAAAATGTTAACGGACGTCGCACGACGGACGACGGACGACGACGCACGAAGACGGATAGCAATAGGTCAATTGAGCTAAAGCTCAGGTGACCTAAAAACCTTCCTATATTCATTTTAGACTTTCCTTACAGTTTGTGCCTTGTTTTTCTCTACCAAGATGCCCCCCTGTACTTGTACGATTTCCCGGCAAAACGCGTATGGTTTCATTGATAAAATTAGCATGAATACATTTCACACAAAAGCAAAACACCATCACCAGCAATAGCAACAAATTATCAACATAACTGTAATGCAGAAAGTTTGTCTTCTCTGCCAGGTGATTACAGGTACACATATCTGGCCATCTGTGTTTACCCGGCCAAAGTTATACATGTACCTACATGTACCTTAATGCTTTATAAAAGAAGTTGTTTGCACAGTTGATTTAGCTCTACTTCCCTGTCCTCAATGTTACCCTTATATACTTATCTACAGCATTGTAAGGCAACAAGCCCCTGATGTGTACACCGTTGTCTTTCACAATGGGATACCACCTATTTCTTGCTAGCTATTTATTATGTATGAAAAGTTCTTTTTATTGGTTATTTAACAAAGATGTTCTGAAGAACTGTGGCATAACAAACTTAATATAAGCACGGAATAAAAAATAGATTTAGTTTCGGTAGTTAATCAAATTCTACAAAGCCAAAGCCTTTCCGTTATTTAGGAAAAACAGGTTGTTCAAAGAAAAGGTATCAGACGACAGATTCTGCGCCACGGCATAGCATAGGTTCAATTGCCCTTCGGGAATGTGGGAAATACAACAATATTAATAGACGATTTACATGGTTTGAATTATACTTTGAAACAGATGGAATTCGACAAAAGGAGAGAATGGGTTGAATTGATACCAAGTAATTATACTTGATTTATCCAATCGATTGATTACCAATATATGTATACACTTATATATGTCAAAATTTAAAGGTCATAGATTGTTATTATTTATCTTTTCATTCAAAATCATAACAAAACTTCGTTGGGAAGTGTTAATGTTAGTTATCACATCATTAAAGACAGTATTTGCAGGATAATTTAACTAATTCTTTCAAATATAGAGGAACTAATTGTTTAATGCGACACTTGAGTTGATAATGTTCGACCTTTGTACTACTCGTAAATGTAATAACAAATATAGTCTGCTTCAAACACTTGTGTACTGTAGACGTTTCACCTTTTGATCAGTGTTAGATAAACCAAACACCGCCCACAGAACTCCCTCCGTGTCTACCAATACAGCCAAGGGACATGCTAGGTCAGTATATAACAGTCGCAGGTATTGTCCATCGCCACTCAGCAGATGTAGGCCTTTGTTGGCAAGGTCAGCTATCACCAGCAACCCTAGACTGTCGTACGTTACATCCCAGGGACGAAAAGCTAGAGACATAGATCCGCTGTAATGTTGTGATTCTCCATACCTGTATAACTGCTGTAGTTGTCTGTCCAGCACTATGACTGTTGGTTTGTCCTTGCCACCATCATCTGCATCATCTCTATCAACGACAGCGACATTGTCATTGATTGGACATTGTGATATACTCTGTGGTGAACGTACCTTCGGTTTCTTGAACAAATATGTTTTGGTGGCGATACCGGGCTTCCCTTCTGGAGTGTACTCGGTAATTCTGTGTTTTGTTCCCACAAGAATATATCCATCTCTTGTAATACACAGACATCGGGGTTTATCCTTTGTTTTGAATCTGCGGGTCAGTTTACCTGAAGAACATGCCCAGAGGTTGTGTGTAGTAGGGGATAAAGTGATATCGTTGATGTAGACAGGACTCTTTATCTCCTGCTGTATCTCTCCTTGACAGTTTAGGTGGGTCATTTTGGACCCGGGACTTGTCCAAACGCCGCCACCACTTTTGGGACACATAGCATTTATTCGACATGGCGATTCCCATTCTGATATAATCTTAATCTGAGGAGGAAGAACCCTCTTCTGGTATTGACCTGTGTCAGTGCTCCCTTTAACTGATTGTTGATGTCCGGAAGGTAGCGGGTTATCATCAACTGATGTTTCATCTGACTGGTCAGGGCCGGTAGTGGACTGAGACTGTTCCGATGGTCTCAGGGAAACTTTTCCAAATGCCTCCTTCAAGATTATATTCCTTCTGTTGTTTGGGGTGAATTTGGCAGAACCTAACTTTGGTTTTTCAGGTAAGGTGATATTTGTCTGAAGTCCTTTTGAAAGGTTAAACACCTGGATATCTGTGCCTGTCTGAAGAGTTTCCTTACAGTGTGTTAGTTGTTCCTTTAGGTCTGCTAGTATTTTCTCAAGTTCAGTGCTGTAACTGGTGAGCAGTTTAGTATTTTCTTCTTCTAGATGTTTCAACCGAGATAGTGTTTCTGATATCAAAACATCAATATCCTTCTTAAGTTTCTCCCCTTGCTCTTTTACTTCTTCCGCTACACTCTCGAAATGGTTCAAGTCTTCATCCAGACTGTGCTGTGTTGAAATGATTTCCTGTTGAATTCCAATCAGCTCTTTTTGCTCCGTTTCATTTATGAATGATTTTATCTTACGTTTGTTGTCGAGAGTAACTTCACTAAGTAGGATATTGTCATGACCTTTGTGTGAAGTGGACACACATTTGGCACATATGACGTCATAACATGTCTCACAAAACCAATCCAAGATCTCGCTTTTGTGGTGTACACATCTAGTTTGATCCTGGCTGCGAACCACTATCTGTCCTTTATAGAAAGAAATCGCCTTTTCTGCCATTTTTGCTAGTTTTAGCATTATCTATATATGTTAACAGACATGCGATGGGTGAGATTCCACCTACTGAATGTTACTGGCCTCTCATAATACACAAATGACGTGGGCCTCACAGCCTGTGATGGTTACTGACGTTTCTTAATACAGGGATCACCTTTAGTCTATAATCCTTACTGTGATGATCAGCTTACTGTGAGTTATCAGCATGATTTCTGTAACGAAATTAAAAAGTAAGTAATTACATCATCACAACTTTTGAAGGAAATTATATATACTGAACGTTTAACGTTGAAATGAACACTTGGTATTTAATAATTTTCAACTTACCCTGTAGTAATTATACAGCTACATATATTCATTGAATAATGTGCACTCAGAATCGCTGAGCGGGTGGACAAGGTGTGCATACAAATTATGTTATTTGGTATTACGCTGTTGTTAATAACATCGCATACGTAAATAAGTGAAAATCTTCAGAACTTTTCCTGTTCGTTACCGTCACGTGCAAAATAAAAGAGGTAAGTTCACTAGTAAGCTTACAAATTAAATAAATTGTATGATGACCGAATTGCATCAATAACTGTGCTATCTGCTTTATCTGTGTACCTGCCCAGATGTATTTCGGACTTGTATACCACCCAGTCACAATATATGGCCAATACATGTAAGTTATAGCAATGTTGTTATCATTGAATATATCTCACACATAAATAATACATTATGAACATGAACACCACCAACAATAAATTACAAACAAACCTTTATTGATGTAGTGTCCCCCTCTCTTCCAGTTAAAGCTTCCACATGCTTACAGGTAAAGAGACATAGTTACTTTGTATCTACCTGAACTTGCCTTTGTCTTGTCCCTACCCTTTGTACCCTAGTTTGACATTGCATGTTATCTTTTATTTGTGACACATGCTGGATCTGCCTAGTCAGTACTTCATTCAACAGTATATGAGAGGTCCTTTATATCTTCTACGATTAAATATGGACTGATAATTATTAAAAGGGTAAAAATTCGGAATCGCAAATAAGCACTTGTTGAGATTATTTTTTAAAAAAGGACTGCTTTAGATACCTTAAATGGGGGCGTTAGTGTGTGCACAAAATTAATGAACTGTGAATCTGAGTTTGGAGAAAGTCTTAATATATATATATTTCAATAAGACAATACATACATTTGAAATAATTCGTATTTTATAAAAAAAAGTTTTGTTTTTAAATCACATGTATCATATATGAGCGTGAACGAAAACTGAGACATATTTTTGAAAAAGACTTAAAAACTTACTGAGTCAAGTTACTCTAAGAATCTAAAAAACATATATTAGACAATTTTTAAATAGGCTTGTGAACTATGTGCTGAATGTGCAAGACACGAGTCTGTAAAGACAGAGAAACGACAAAGAGATGCACCGCTTATTTTAGCAAAAGTTTCTTTGTATGCACGTATCCTTGATTTGCATGTTGTAAAATGTCCGAAATCTTGCCTTTTGTACGCCAGGTAGATAGTTTGTGTTAGCTTTAACTGTGACTCATGCTGGAAACGAATGTTTCATGTTTTAGTCAACACTTGATATTCAACGGTTCCCTACTTACCACGTAGTAATGATATAGCTACATATTTTCATTGATAGTGTGCATTGAAAATCCATGAACGAATTATCAAGGTTCCCATGAAACGAATGGTATGGTTAATTACGCTGTTGTTAATCACATTGCATTATGTAAATAAGTGCAAATCTTTTGAATGTTTCCTTTCGACTATTCTTGAGTACAACATAATTCAGGTAATTCTCACTAGTATGCTTACAGAGTAAATGTTATATTGTATGAGCAGTAACTGTGTTATCTGTTTTATCTTTGTACCTGCCGGCCTGATCTACTTTTGATTTGTATACCACCCAGTCACAATATATGGCCAATATATGTAAGTTATAACATTGTTTGTGTCTATAAAATATATTTTTGCTAATGTCAGACATGGATATATTGTATCATGTAAGTAGTACGAAATCAACACCTCCACCAACAACAGTAACACATTACAAACATACCTGTTATGCTTCAGGTCTCTTCCAGTTTAAACTTCCAGGTGTTTACAGGTAGACATTGCTAGTTATGTTTGTATCTTCCTGACCTTGTCTTCGCCGTGGGCCAGACTGTTGAACCCTAGGCTGATATTGTGTGTTATCTTTAACTGTTTTAGATGCATGTAATACATACCTAGATTACTACTTGCGGCTACCCTTCCTATTTGATATTAATTGTTTCTACATAATTATTGACATCTGCTACTGCAAAGACATTGTGATTTTAATAATGTTGTTAACAGCAAATGAAATGCACACTACATTACAGTACCAAAAAAATACGATATCTGTCTTATGCAGGGTCATTCATTTTTGACCTACTGTATCTATTTAAAAATCTTAAAATTGAATCACGTGTATGTGTGTTTCGTTCATCTTTCAAGATACAAGGTGGTAGTTTCTGCTGGTGGACATTTTAGTCCCCAAGGTTTGCTGTAACCTTGATGGCCACAGTTATCTCTTTTGAGAAGTGGAACGGTTCATGATATACACACTTTTTATTATTTAATTTGAAATTTGAAATTAATCAGTACTCCCACAAATAAAGAAATTCATAACCAACGGTGTTTTACGCACCTGTCCCTCTGTTTCTACAGTTGTCTAGACAATTTGGATTCCCAACTTTTGGCCCCTAGCGTCACCGATGAGTCCTTGGAGATAATCCAGTGTAATTCACTATTTGACACACTGTATCTAGTACCAGAGTTTGAAGGTGCATCACGTATGTGTGTAACGTCGTGAGGTCGTGAGTTCTGATTCGAATAACGTATTATTATAATATTACTATGAGGAGCTGTAAAGGAAGGATTGTTAGCACTTTTGACTTCAAATCAAAATAAAGAGGTTAAAACAATGTTCCTCAAAAGGTATATAACATTTACCATAGAGAATCAATAGAGTAGGGATGAACAACTCTATCGTCAGCAGTTATACTAGTATAGGTTGTAAATATAAACCCGAACATTGTAATTTGTGACGCACTTTTCCCTGGTGTTGTATAACATCTCCTTAGGTTTGAGTTCGAGTCCCGATAAAATATAGATATACTTTAACACTATAGGTTTCCCAATTATTAGATTTTTTGTTTGTATCTTGATATTAATGTCAAGTATTTATATCAAGAATTAAGTCAAAGTATGGCTTATTTGACACGAGACACCGGAGCTTGTAACAAGTCAAGGCAAGAAAGTAAAGAAAAAAAGCTAAGTCTGTATTTAAATGTTTGTTGTAGCTAATAATATTTATTACAATATTTTCATTATTCGAGATATTTTAAAACAATTTAATAAATTTGTCAATATTTTAATAAAAACATACTAACTAATGCTGTTGAAGAAGATTGAAGTGGGTCAAAGCTTGTTAATGCATTATGTAAAATTGGATAAAATACAAACTCGTAGACAATGATAACCAGGATAACAGAAACAAATGGTTTCATTGAGTCCATTTTGAGGAAATTCTTATCAAGAAGAGGTTTTTGTGTTTCATCTCATGGTGCTCAACTTTAAAGATGTCTTTACGCTCTTAGTGCAAATCTCGTTATGGCAAGGAAGACAACTCTGATTGCCTTGCGTTTGTTTCGTAAGACAATCTATGGTTGTGTTCATCATATCACAGAAATATATTTTCGATTTTTCTAGCAGTTTGTCTCGGTCAGTATCAAAATCTCAGTTCCATATAACTACATATTCACCTCAACAAAACTGTAATATTGATAATGATCAATTTAACAAATACTCATATCCTGAACATTACATGTTAAGATATCACATTTGTCACTGTCCAGTCAGAATGATACTTTCTATTCACTGCATCCAAAGCCGTAGAGTTTCAGTTTTAGATGCAGATGAAGCGACGGTAGAATAGGTACTGTATACCGGGAAATTTTCGCCCAGTCATCTCTTGCCCTCCAACAATGAAATACATTTTCGCCTTGTGTTCGCCTTTCACTTTAAATTACTATGAATGCTTTGTATCTACTTATATTAATTCGACCTCATTACAGAGGGCGAAAAAGGCGAAAATTAGCCTGCACCGAAAAATTCCCGGTATAAGATAGTTGTTTTGATGTTCTTTGCTATATAAACTACAATATTAATGTTGCAATTGATATTATTTTGCTGGTAAATCATAC